GTAATTATAGAACGATACTGTTTGGGACGACGTTGCGATTAAATAATTTGTCTACAACAAAACACAATTCTAAAAACCTATGACTATTTTACGTCTCCAAGGTGACGTAAGTTACGTCACGTAACCCACCGATTCAACTCTGAACCCGTCGATAAAAGTTTTCCTCTCCAATTCGCCGGAATATCCGTTAATATTTATTAGAATCGGGTATTTTCAGCAAGATATCTTTGTCCTATCGCGCGATAGCCTATCGAATGGCCATGGTTATCTCTCGTCCGGCCGCGATCTATTTTTGTGGGTTAATGGAGTTTCAGTAGTGTGCATGCAAGATAGAACGAGAAGCAGACGCAAAGGGATAGACCAGAGAGCAACCACGAGCAAGAGAATAAATGTGTTTCAGCCAATCAACGCCATGAGCCATCGGTAGTCCCGTTTCTTTCCGATTAAATCGTCCACGGAACGGCCCGTCGGATAGACTAGTCGCTCGTGTCACAATTTCTGCATGACAGGCCTTCGCGACGCATATTCTGGCTGACCAGCAGCGAAATTAATCGGAATTCGATTCCATCTATGACGACGTAAATTGGAAGTTACCCTCAGAAACTAGCTCCGCATAATTTCCACGGGAAAACAAGTTCTGAACATTGGTCTGCTCCCAACAATGCCGTGATGTAGTCATGAACTTTGTTCAATTACCGCGACATATTCTGCGCGATGAGGCTGCCCTCGAGATCTCTTTACCATTATACGTCGTGGAGACTTCGTTGTCTTCTGAAATAGAAATTCGGAAGATGTTCTCGGAGCAATTACCTCTTTCAAGAAAATACGAGATTCCCTGCTTTCTGTGGTAGACTGTGCTAGACTGTGGTTGGCAGAATTTAATCTTTGCTTCAAATTAGCTAGGGGAAAAGGAAGAAAAGGTGACTTATATTTCAATTACATATATGAATAGAAAATTTGGCTTAATATTATATAATTAAATGTGTGAGATGTGTATTACCTTTGTATTAAAGCTATTTATGTAAAAATATTCATATAAAGAATACTTAAAGTGAGACTTCTAGTGTGTATGGGGATCAAAGAAATGATAACATATCTGAGAGACTAGCAATGAGTAACATTGTATACCATTTTTATCAATGTGTCATAATTTCTTCGTGTAGTACCATTTTAACCATTTCAATTTAATACAAATATAACGATTTACAAATAGATGATTAAGTCATAAAAAAGGAATTATTCCAGATCAATATTGAAAACTATCACAGTTGTATCTTAGCAAAAGACGCACAATAAGTGTAATTATTTATGCAATTATATAACTGTCTTTTTATACACTTTTGCCAAAGTAATTCCCCAATTTCTCGAACAAGGTAATTACATACGTTTTACTATTTCGTCTGTATCCTTTTTTAAAATTACTTTATTTATTGAAATATGTCGTATCGACGAGAAAAGATAATTATGCTATAAATCAATGCCCGGGTGAGTATTAGCTACTCGGAAATGTGAGAGTCTTACGGTTGGTTGATTGCGACTGTTCTATTTCATGGCTTGATTTCTGCACTCGCGAAACGTTTACGCTATAAATGCAGGCAATATTTCAGGCAATCAACGTTTCAATAATTCGTAGCCAATGTATCGAATAAATTCGCACAATAACGAAATAAATAAACCCCGCGTTTCTGCTAATAAAAACATCGAGGGTGGATGTATGGAAATATAGGATGTCAATTGGATTTAAAATCGTACAATTAGTATCGGAATACATTTTATGGAAACGAAGCTGGATTGTTACACGTCCTGTTGATTGATATTATACATCGAGTTTATATAAATACTTTTTCGAAATTGTTCTGCACATCGAAACTGTAGGAAGGGTTTATAACAAACTTGTTATTTTGTTCGTGGACTGCACGAATAAAAATATGCGAGCTGTTAATAAATACAGCGCGCTGATTTTCAAAATCGAGTACACGCGTCAACTCGGTAAACGAGTTTTATTTAAAATTTTATCCGCCTATGTGCGTATTCATATTTATTCTGTACGTAACGATAGTTTGTATGTAACACGTATTGCCAATGTTACGTTACAAAAACGGAGCTTGTCACATGTCGTAGAAAGATATATAGTAGTTATTTGTTCTCCTGTCTAGCATTCTATCATTATTCATATAAATTTATACTAGACATACTATTATTACTTATATTATTGATTATTATTGATATACTGGGGAGGGTATATCAATAATAATCGGCTTAGAGTGTCGCGCGGGAATACATACGTATATGCGTTTTTGTTATGCTTAGGTAAAATTCCATGCTTTCTGTCATTATAGGATAATCATTTAATAACAATTGTTTTTTATTTTTGTTTCATTCATCGTGAAGACTAAATTTTTTAAAATTGTATAAAAATATAAGAGTTTACAGAGCAAAGCAACTAGTATCTCAATACAAAGTAACAAATACTTGCTAATTACCATAGTAACCGATTAAACAGTTACCGGTCGGTGAGCACTGGGAACAGAAAGCCGATGAATCGGCTACCAGTCGGTAAAGTATTCAGAGGAAGTTCAACTCTATTGGGAAGAAGCCAAACGTGGAATCAAGACGTTTAATTAAAATGTTTAACTATCCTGATTCCATAAAATGAGTATTTTTAATATGAAAACTATATGCACACAATTCAAATTTGAATACGTAAATGTGTATATTGCGAAGTAAATCTTGTAAAATTACCGAAGAAAAATCAGACTTTCCTTACCTCTAATTAATTCCTGATATGTACATCTGCTATATTTGTATTGAAAATTCGATAGTCAATATATCGGTTCGCGGTATTTCTCGCAATGATCGCGAAGCCGATATACCGACTAAAATGCGTTAAAACGGTTATGCAGTTCTGTTCCGAACAAGCAGGTTGTTCCTTCGCGCAGTTTCCATATTTAGAACCAAACGGGCACGTCATTTCTTACGTCCCAAGGGGTCCCCGACGAGAGTGAAAAGCAAGATGTTAATTCGCGCGGTCGTTACGGGGTCACCGAACCCTGAACTCCTCGACGGCCTACAGTCATCGTCGACGTCGCCGGCACCACCGTCGCCCCGCTACGTCTACGTTGTCGTCATCGTCGAACGAACGGTACGAGCGCGTACCTATTCATCGAAAACGACTGCCACGTACGCGTTCCACCCACACGCGTCCTCGTACGCGTCGGAGGGGTTGAATATATTCAGTGGTTGGACCAGCGCGAGGGAGACGACGACGTGAGTGCACCGAGAGGAAGCATATGTGCATACGCGGAGGAGAATATCTGGAGGGTGTGAAAGAGTGCGGCACCGCGCGAAGCGAGACGACGATGATGACGGCGGCATCGAACCAAGAGAAAGAGAGAAAGACTGCGGGTAGCAGGGGTTGAAAGAGGTGGGAGAGGTGCTGGCGAAGGGCGGCGCACCTCGACAAAACAGAAATGCATGCGTGCGTCAATTGTTCTTGGCGCATAGGGTGTGCGTGCGTTTTACGTGGCGCGACGCGTCGACTTGCATTATCTATTTATTCTATATTCTGTATTTATCTGCCAGTGTCGCTAAACGTATCTTTAACGTTAGAGGTGATTATAAAGACACATCAATAGAGATTCAAGCAGTTAAACTCATTTAGTTTGTTAGACGTTTCGATCTTTGTTTAGATATTCTTCGGTAAAACTAAATTAAACTTAAGTATGCAAAGTAAAAGTTAAGCTTAAGAGTGTCTTCTTATAAATATTCGTGGAAAGAACGGGTCACTTTTTTCTTTAAAAAAGGAGAATTGTGTAGAGTTATTAGGTGTACAAATAAGTTCGGTGCCTTTTTATCATATATTCCGTGTTTAT